GAAATGAACCTGTAACCTTCTGTATGCAAAGCAGGTGCTCTGCTACCAAGCTACAGTTAATGTACTACTTCCTCACTGCTAAAAGTATCCCTAGTACTGTAGCTATGAATCAGGGGAATTTTAATTAGCTCAATTAATTAATGGGCTGAGCTACAAACAACCAGGTTGAGACTTTTCCCATCTATATACTGAGGTGAGGGGAATAGGAAATTAACAGAGGCAGAATTATTTCTATGAATTGTATTTTATTCAAGGTAAATACACACCAGAATATACACTCACATATGCATGCACACAAGAGGCTCAGGAATAAAGAGGTGAGCACTGGAATAGACAAGAGGCTCCACTAATGGCAATACTTACTATCGATGTGGTGACTTCGGATGGTTCCAATTAAATGGTATGGCATTGGATTAGGCTACATGGGAAGTACTGTGGGAAACAGCTGCGAGTCAGAACTAGGCAGAATTTAAAGTAACATAGAGCCCCCTTGCATTCTAGCTAGCCCAAGGAAACAAAGGAAATGTAGGTCCTTATATAGGCCAAAACTAGCCTGAGGCAAAGATGCATCAAAGGGCCAAACCTGCATGGGAAAGGATTACTCAAGATAGGGTTTCAAAGATGGGGAATGAAATTGTAAATTAGCCATCTCTGGCTTGGGTGCAAAACATCCTGCTGTAAATTACCTAGCCTTCCTGCCTTTAGATGTGTGAATCTTTCCTTATCTGCAGCCCCCAAACTATCTGATTGATCTGTTAATAGGGTACCTTGGTATATGACTTGCCGTCATGGCTCATGGCTGTCTCTAGTTCAGAATCCATTCACAGCCATGGAAGGGGAACACACACACACACACACACCACAAAATTGGAAGGTTTCCAGTATTCATAACAGTGCTAGGAAGTTAACCCTCTGAAATATGAAGTGTTGAGTCTGATTAAATCTGTGGTTGTGTTAACACAACCAGTCCAGCCTTTGTTTCTGCTAGAGGGCTAGCATTTCACCAATTGTAGATGTGTGTTCAGTTAGATTTAGTTAACTCTGGGATATCAAGCAGCAGTTCTAAGCATTCTGTGGAGCTATCATGATGAAAGGCACAGTACTGGGATTCCAGAATAACAATCTATGGCAGGGGTAGGCAACCTTTCCCCTTTAAGGGCTGAGGGACTTCAGCTCCCAGAATCCCAGGAGCTATTGGCCAACATGGGACTATTGGCCAACATGGCTGAGGCTTCTAGCCAACATGGCTGAGGCTTCTGGGAGCTGAAGTCCCTCGGCCCTTAAAGGGGAAAGGTTGCCTACCCCTGATCTATCGCCTCTAGAACAGATATAGCTGAGGACAGCATATTTTTCAAAACCAACATCCTTCACTCTCCATAGTCATTGTAAAGATTAGTTAAAGAACTGTGCCTATAAAAGTTCTTTAAGAATAGTAGTAGTAGTAGTGTATTGTGTTTGTTGCTGTATGCATTCCAGTTGTTTCTACTTATGGTGACCCATCATGGGGTTTGCTCGGCAAGATTTGTTCAGGGGAGATTTTCCATTGCCTTCCCCTGAGGCTGAGAACATGTGACTTGCCCAAGGTCACCCAGTGGGTTTTGTGACCAAGCTAGGAATCAAACACTGGTCTCCAGAGCCATAGTCCAATACTCAAACCACTATGCCACACTGGCTCCACAGGTCTGTTCTAAATATGATTAAGCCTGGATCCAATCCAACACTCCACCTTAAAAAATTGTATAGTGAGTGTGTACTATACAATTTTAAAGGTGGTATATTGGATTGAATCCACAGTTTGAAGAAACCACAAGGGCCATCCAGTCCAACTCCCTGCCATGCAGAAACTCTCAA